TACACACACACACATATATATATGTATATATATATATATATATATATATATACATATATACATATATACACACACACACACACAGTAGCAGTTTGCCTGACATTACACTTTAAGAGACTAAGAAGCAGTTAAAATCATACAGTGAAGTGTCCATGCAATTCAGTAAATATTCGAACTGTGCTGAAATCAAGAACAAGCCCAAGCAAAAGGAGCAGTGCGGCTTCTTGCCATATACTTTGTGCTTTTAAGGGCTGCAGCCTCATGGCAGTCACGTGTGACGTCCCCTCCTCGGACCTACATCACTTTGCATATAATACTTCCTGCAGACTGCAAAAGGGCTGGGATAAGCAGTGTGATTCATTTCTCAATTATCAGGGATGTGCATTATTAGAGAGCAAAGATGCTTTGATAAGAGTCCCTGGCTTGTCATTTCAGGATAATGTGTTCCAAGAACATGCATATGGCAATGACTAGAAGATTTTACACAAGAGAGGCGAGAGGTGTGGAGTGCTCGAGTAAAGCAAAATGACAAAATAAGCCAATGTGATGTCAGCAATGTGCTGTTAAATGTTGAACGTTCTTATTTATGTTCTTAAGTGTACCAGATGCCTTAACTCTCTTTAAAATCAACATATAGCCATACAGTGAAATGTAAATCAGTGATAAGAGAAGTTTGCGAGAGTGTGAAACATACAGTCACAATACTCAATTTGCATGCAGTCTGCAAGAACTCGAGCGTGGCAAGATGCACGACTTCATTTTCAACCAATCAGCTCACACATATGAACACGATGGAATTCGTGTACTGACGTGCAGGTTCATACGCATGAGCCGATTGGCTAAAGATGACATTTTCCATCTCGGCTCGCCCAGCTATGCAAGCTCTTGCCAGCTGACAGGAGAAGAAATTGAAAGACACACTGCACGCAAAGGTCCACACGACCCCGCATCCCTTTGCTCTGTGTGGCTTTGCGTGCAGTGTCACAGTCTTTACACAAGGCATGGGACACTCCAGCTGTCCCATGCCAAATCTAAGACTGAGAGCTTACCAATCACATGATGGCTGATCAGTCAGCTCTCAGTCTCTGCTCCCAGTGGAGGGTAGTGACAGACACTCACTGCACCCACAGGGATTCCCCTCTCCAGCGCTCATTGGAGGGACAGACAAGGGAGGGGACAGGCACGGCTGGCTCTTGTTCTTAGCCACATGCAAAAGGAGACAGCTGTCAGTTGTTGGTATCCTTCTTGACTACGGCATCGCTGTGCCCTGTCAGCTAACTGTTGGCATAAACCCCCTATCAGCTTAATGCAAATATACTCCTGTAACCCAAAAGAGAAGTAGAGCCAAAAAAAGGTTTGTCTTTACTTAATTTTAAGGTATAACATATTGCATTTAGTGTCCATAAATAAAGGCACAAAAACTACCCAGATATAATAGTTTATATGACAGTTGTCTATATGTCTGAATGTGTCTTTTTAATAAAATTAAACGAAACCCCCCCCTACTTTAAAAGGTCATGAGGAAGTGGACTGGAATGGAAAAAAAAGCAACAAACCTTGGAGAATTCTTCATCACAGTTTGAGTGACTTTTGCTTTTCACAAACTCCTTGAAGGAAAAGGGGTTGGCTTCATCCAGAGGTGCAGCATCACAGTCTGCAAAGAATATATAAATGACTGAACTATCATTTTGTGTATGTTTTACTGCCATTTCAGAGGCCCTTGCCCTTTGTCATCCTCCATATTAGGCTACGTGCTTTCCATCCTTTCTAAAAGAGAAAGTGCTTCCTATAACCTGGAATTAAAACCAGGAGCTGTAGAAATGACTACATACAACTAATTCACATTTCATGGCTGTTTCTTGCAATGGTAATACACAGAGACAATACATGACACGTCACAAACTATGGGTTTGATTTACTAACGGAGTAGAAGCAGCTCACCTGGTAAATCAATTCCCTTAGTACTTTACAGAGTGAATGTTAATAAGGTGAAACTGTGTTCAGTGTGATACCCTGTGTTAGCATAAAATCCTGCTTTTTTTTTCTTTTCATTTCCCTCGCTTGGGGCTGGGTATTTATTGTAAGTACAGGTTCACCTTATATACCAATATCAACTTTGCAAAGTGAACAACCCCTATAAGTTCAGTAAATCAACCCCTATGTGTATGTGGCCCCAACCTGCTAATGACTGTCAGCACAAGAGGGGCCTGGCTAATAAAAACAAGAAAAGCAATGTGCAGGGCTGGACTTTACCATCCTCGATGATCAGGGTCTTGGCTTTCCTCCCAGATGTGGGGAGTCCAGACATGGTAAGGGAAACAATAATGAAATAAGAATCAAATGAAAGGTCAGTTGTTAAAAGGTGAAGATCTCATCTCTGACATCACGTGGCATTTGTAGCAGGGGTCACCTGATCCATTGTGTCCTGGATGAAGAGCAGAAATATAGTTACAGTGAAACAGTGTCACCAACAAGAATGTTTATACTTCCTTTGAATAAATAAGCCAATCATCCTACTAAAGTCAGATCAAGAAATTATCAACGCGGATTGATTCTTGCTTACTATACATTGCTGCCAGACTAACTGAGCAAACCTCACTAACATGTAATTGGCTTATACAGAGCTATACAGCAGAATGCATGCGTTGATGGAGGAGTAGGTGTACGCAGTGTGATGACATAATATATGTTGGATGAATATTACACAGAGAGGTAAGCAGTGTGGTAACACAATGTGATAAGTATGTGGGATAAATAAGGGGTATTGTGAGATATGACACAAAAGGACATCTATTGTTTTATTATTGGTATTTAAATAGTGTCAACAATTTTATGCAGCGCACATTCACATCAGTCCCTGTCCCCAAGGAGTTGACAATGTAAGGTCCCTATCTCACATACATAAATGGATAACAACCCAGTTAAATCTTATCTGGATTAAACTATATCTGTACATAAAATACACCCGTCAGATCTGTTGTTACAGAACAAAGACATAACACACACATGTTGGACTTTATGGACCAGTGTCTTTATTCAACCTCAAATACTATGTAACTATATCATGCTGACCCGTGCTGAACTCCTTCGTGTATCCAATTATTTTAGATAAACTCCAGGCACCATCATTTTCATAGCTTTAGATGAGCGGCTGTGTTTTCCTCTGAAGTGTAGTAATTCAATGTTTGCTTTTCTTATACAGCTTAGAAAGGAGGCTTTGATTTGCACCAAATAGACCAGCTCGTGTGTTATAGCATAGTGGATTGAGCCAGGTATATGCCATATAGTATGGGAAATGTGACACTGTCATGTACAACACATGGCAATATCACAAAGTGGTAAATTATGTCTGAATACAAAAATATTAAATACAATACACAGTGGAGGGGATTTATCAAAACTGGAGCAGGCAAAATCTGGAGCAGATTTGCACTGCAGCCAATCAGTTTCTCTGTCTCACTTTCAAATCTTACCTGAGCAAACTGAAGAAAGAATCTGATTGGTTGCCATTGGCAACTGCTCCAGATACTTCTGCTCCAGTATTGATAAATTCCCCCCAGTGTGTTGCCAGGGATATCTACAATATGAGACACACAGGGGTAAACGATGTACACACAGCATACAAGAAAGGCTAGAGGTGTCGAAAACAATATACCCAGGAACTTATGTGAACTTAGAGATAGGGATATACACAGGATGTAGTCTATAGACATATATACACACGCAGTATAGTGTACAAAGGGTGCTATACACACAGATATATAGAGTGGTATATACACGGTACAGTGTACCTAGATGTGTACACACAGAGCACCGTAGCCAGTCCCAGAACTCACACTGATACAATGTCTCTGCTCTCCCCGCTCACATCCCGGTCAGGCTCCGCCTTCTCCGGAACTACACTCAGGCATGCAGGAAGCAGGAAGTGGGGCTGAGGTGACACCCAGAGGTCAGGGGTGAGAGTACCAAGATGGCGGCCGACATGGCGAGAAGCAGAGCATGGCGGGGGATCCAGAGGTAGGAAAACACTTCCAGTTACAGATATATTTCCTCTCTGCGCTCCTCCATATTTCCCCTATGTACTACCTGCGAGTATCACTTGTCACCATGATCAATGCAACCTCCCTCCACATCTCCTTATTTGCCTGTCATTATTATTGTGTAACCCCGATATGTGTAACCTTCCACCATATCACACTTCATATACTACTGGCCATTATCGCTGTGTCTCAATGCTCTGTGCAACCTCCCTCCACATCTCCCTTCACATACTACCTGTCATTATCACTGTGTACTCCTTTCTACAATCCCAGCCCCCAGGGCAGGTCACCTCCGCTCTTCGCCTCTTGGTATATATTATCACCATCTTCTAATTGTACAGATTGTCCCCAAACATCCCATTATACAAATAAATAGCTGACTCCGGCATACTCCATGCCACCTAAATATAACTTTAAAAGGGACATATGACTATTTCAGAAATCTGGGGACTGTTATGATGAATCCCCCTGAACCGTGACAGATGTTATGATAACTGTGTGCCACCGCTCTTCCTGTCCCGTATATGCTGTCACTGTGTGTGACCCCCTCTTCCTGTCTCGTATACGTTGTCACTGTGTGCCACCACTCTTCCTGTCCCGTATACGTTGTCACTGTGTGCCACCGATCTTCCTGTCCCGTATACGTTGTCACTGTGTGCCACCGCTCTTCCTGTCCCGTATATGTTGTCACTGTGTGCCACCGCTCTTCCCGTCCTGTATATGTTGCCACTGTGTGCCACCCCTCTTCCTGTCCCGTATACGTTGTCACTGTGTGTGATCTCCTCCAGGTATGGGCTGCCGGCCTACAGACGGTATAGCAGTGGTGGATCGTATCCCAGCATACCCCTCACCTCCCCTTTACCCGGTGCACCCAAGCCGGTCTTTGCGAGAGTGGATGGGCAGGAGAAGTTTGAGACAAAAGTCACCACTCTGGAGAACGGGCTGCGTGTGGCTTCACAGAACAAATTTGGGCAGTTCTGTACTGTGGGACGTAAGTTGTACAAGCTGCTATGAATAAAAGGAGCAGACATCCATCACAATGTCTCCTGTGTGAAGACTGCCGGAATGAGGGTGCAAGCATTGTATTGTCATTTCACAGAACAGGGACCAGTATCTTTACCCAGAATGCATCACACTTCTCTGTGCGTGCCATAGCACTAGATGTAGGGTACCTCAGGTGTACATGGTAAACTGCATATATAGCAGATCAAAGAACATCATAGCTGGGCTGCCAGAGTCTAGAAAACCTGTCATAACGATTCCTGTATCCAGGGTCCTTAAAAGACTTCAACCACCAGTCAAGCAAGCAATATCTGGGTAGTCACTAGTATCACCAGGATGCTGGAGTAACCTTGTGAAGTGACTACTGTGATCTGTGGCTGTTGTTGTTGTCATACAATGCAATAGTGTAAAGGGGTTTCTGTTTTTCAGGACCCTGACTATGTAAAATACGTTTGGTTATAATTCCCTTTATCATGAAAGTAACAACTATGGTGGAAAAGAAGTGGCAGGTTGGTCAGACGGAAACTTTTTTCTTGGCTATGATGGCCAAATCTGACCTACAAAGGTAGCAAAATACAAATGATGGTGCTTTAATGTACTGTATGGACAGTTATGTACTGTACAAAATCTATAAATAAATAACAGGCATCCAGTAAAGTTTCACCCCAAAATATTTGTAGCTGAATAGATCTAAATTTCAAAAAGAAAACAAATCAGTTCCCATGATGCAGTATGAACTTTCCTTGTTCTGCTCCTGCATCAGCCAGGTTGGGCATTGATGCTCTGAATTGGAGCGGGCTAAGCACAGCACAGAATTTGTCCAAGTGATTGGGAATGGGGAGGCACATTATTGTGTCCTCCCATCACGGGTAAAGCAGATATTTTTATTTTTAGCAGCTGATGATGATTTGAGAATAATTTCCCGACTTTTAATTAGATCATTAAATTGACAGTTGTGTTTTATTTTTTTTAATTTTTTTTAGTTTTGATAAATTCGGGCTCCAGGCATGAGACAAAGTACCTCAGTGGCATCTGTCACTTCCTGGAGAAACTCGCCTTCTCTGTAAGTATCACGTGTGCCTTTTACCCCTGACCGCCATGTTTGTAATCTTCTACAGAAATGTAGAACTAGACTGTGCTGCAGGAAGACCTCTGTCTGTCAGCAGTCTGCATTATTTCCGCACTCTGCCTGTTCTACGCTGACTTAGTACATCCACCTCTGGAGATGGTACTCTTAAAGTAAAGAGACCTCAACATGGGGTGGCCTCTGACATTCACAGACAACATAAGAACCCAGCAAGTCATGCATCCCTTATCCTTTTTGTATTAATAGGCTTTTTTTAAAAAAAATTCTTTATTTTTGACACAAGTAGCAATAGTACATCATCCATAAAGCTTAGGCAGTAACAAAAATGGAGTCATGTTATAAAAAACATTGGCAAAAGCGCCATGGAATGGACATTGTATAAAACATTCACAGTATGTATTGAAAAAGACGCGTAGAAAAGACAGTTTAACAACTACTGCTAAACATGTGGCTTTTTATTATTCTTCGTTTCTTATCTGTCCCTGGTGTCCAAAAAATGCAGGAATTAGCAGTCTAATGACGCTATGGGACATAAAGAAGTATGCATAGAAAGATAAGAGATCAGCTCAAGGAAGGAAGGGTTGGAGAGGGGATGCAGCCCATCCATCTATTAGGAGGGAGGGAACAGTGGTCAGGCAATTTGCGAAGCCGAGAGACATCCTCATCGAATAGGTCTTTTAAATAAGGTGGTTTGTCTTCTGAGTAGCAGCAAGGTCATTTTTCTCTGTCTTGCAGTCTACAGCCCGGTTTGGCAGTAAAGATGAGATCCTTCTCACTCTGGAAAAACATGGCGGCATATGTGACTGTCAGACATCCAGGTAAGGCCTGGCTGTCCCCTGTTTAAAGGAGCACTCCTCTATGTATTAAGATGTAATGATGAAATATATGTATAGTAGAAGAGAGGGTATACTATATCTGCAGGCCCATGTTAATAAAACTTTGCGCCCACTGGTATATTTATTATATATTTTTGTTCCCTTACTTAATTCTAGCCTTCTATTACCTGCAACACAATCTAAACTCAGAGAATCCATAAGATATAGTGAGATACACAACAACATATACTGATAATTGAAATATTTTTCTGCCTTGCAGAATTCAGCTAGCCGCAGTCACTGCACCAGAAATTAAGATCTGTCACCTTACCAGTGTAAATTGGGAAAGGGCTATATAGCTGGAATTTTGTGTAGACAGTCTTCTGATTCCCACAGCCTTACCATGCCATATAGCCAGAGGGCGACACCAGAGGGATCACTTTGATGCAGCTGACCAGATTCAACATGTATTGTAGT